GGTCAAGATAAAACGTCCTCACACATTTTTGGCTGAACATCCACTTCAGACATGAAACCAAATAGCAAGAGCTTTAACTCTTGCCAGAAAAATCACAGGCTCCTACTGGGTAATGTTTGACTTCATTCACTTCATCTGAATACATTTTCTATGGAAACTGTGATGACGTCTACAGAAACGAGGAGCAAATTTTAACCAAATGTCTAGGAAATAAAAGGTGGCAATGTTTAAATGTTCTTTCCCCACCTACCTTACTGCAAATATATTTAAAAGATCTTTTATTCTCTTTAGATTTAACTCCAGCGAATCTGATCAGTTATCCTGATAAACAGTTCTAAAGCTTTCTAGAGGTCTTAAAAAAAAAAGATAGCCTTTTAACTTAAGCTGATTTTATTTAATTTATTAATTTTCAGTCCAGCCCTTAAAGCTAAGCTTGGCAGCAAATTGTAAAGCATCTGATCTGCAAACTAAGGAGAATGAAGGAGACCTATCCTATCCTAAAGTGCAAATAAAATGAGTTTTGAAGCTAATCAGTTAAAATGAAATAATAACGAATATTTTCTGTAAAATTTGCAAATAAAAGAAAAAGATTTGAAGTAGTAAATATTTAAAGCTGCCAGTTTTTTCTGTGTCTCTGGAAAACAGAAAAAATCATCAGCAGTTCCTAAAATAGTAGGCAAAGTAGGACAATATTTGACCTTACATGTAAACTTTCTTTTAGTTTCTTTTTTACCCAAACATTTATTAATTTCCTAAGCTCTTAAAAGGAACACACCACCAACACGGAAATATGGTGGTGGTGGTGGTGTGATGGTCTGGGGCTGATGTGATACTTGATAACCTGGGATGACTTGCTGTACTTGTCTGACCATCAATTCATGATTTTAAGTTCATCTACATTTGTTGCAGGACATTGATTCCCATAATTACATTTTTTGTATAGAGTTGACTTATATCAGTCTTTGATTGAAAGCTGATGGATGATCTGAATCATTGGGAAAAAAACTGAAATTGTAAGAAGGCAAACTACAAGTGATCAATTAAATAACTAAGGGGGACACTTTTATTCTGCATCTGCATATATAAAGAAAATGATACCTTTTTAGAGGGTTTCAGAACCCCAAGACACTTTGATTCCTTCTTCCAACCTGCCTGCTTCTCATGATTTATTTGTTTCTGCTCAACAGCATCTAATTTAGCACTTTCATGTCAGCTTGCTTTGTTTGACATTATTGTTTAAAGCAGAGCTAATACCCTCAGAGACAGAGCTTTAAGAAATCACTGATGTTATGAAGTCTTTGAACTTGTCTAATCTCAGCTTTAAAAAAAAAAAAAGCCAGACTGGGGGCTGTCTGTCCCCCTGGGGGTCAAAAAACATCAGCTGCATATTAGATCACAGATTTCCAGGAAGCAACTGAAAAAATGTAATAGATTAACATCCAAAACCAGACAAAAAATAAATAAATAAAGGGAAAATAACAACAATACAGACTCACAACAGCTTAAGGAGGATGAAACACGGCAGCCAGTCCTGACAAAACAAATACAACACAAGGAATTACAACCATGCTCTCATTCATAAGGAAATGCACATATTTCCCTGAAGAGATTAGAGGGGGAAAGAACAAGCGAGGCAGGGTAGGGGACAGAGAGAGCTCACCTTTCCTCATAATGACTGCGCTCACCTGTTGATCCCCTCACCTGGGGCAGGGGGATCACTCTCCCTCCCCTCCCTCTTCCCTCCATCTCCCTCTGCCTCCCAGAGATGGCCAGATAAAGCCATCCTTTCAGCTGAGGCAGCCATAGTACATCTCTGCACCGCCCGCCCCACGGCGCGGCCCTGAAACCGATACAGGTAGGCTTTCTCATGGAGAACTTTCTCACACTCGCACCTGCCAATCACACACCTCCCAGGAGAGCAGAGCGGGAGGATAAAGCTGGAAGCTCACGCAGCATGCATCCAGCACACTCAAATGTAAACTGTACACAGATAAGGGAAGATAATTGGCTCTGGGACAGTTAGTCTCGCAGGTAAATGGGCTGATACCAATCACAGAGAGGAATCCTAAGCCAGTCCTGTGTTACATCCATGTGTGCAGGTGTATTAAGGGGAATGTGTGGGGAAAAGAAGCTTTATCCTCATCAACTAAATTAAACAGTTTTAGTACAGAGACTCTGAGACGCGTCTGGAGGAGTAATGGATCTGAAACCACATCACACAGATCCTTACAACAAACAATGATTAGAGCTTAAAGGGCAGGAAAAAAAGTGTTTTGCAGCGAACATGAATTGTAAGTAAATACGATATGTGAGACATAGACTGTGCCACACAGTGCCTACTCCACGATCTTTTAACCCCCCTCTCTGTTTATTGCTCGGGTATTGTTGTGCTGATTAGTTTTTGGCAGAGATCCACCTTAACAACACCAGCAAGGATAGTTAGCGTTCAGCAAAGAAGCAGGAGCTTATGCGCTGAATTTATTAGACTAATTGTGCTAATAAAGGGCAGATAGAGGAAATGATATGTCCACAAAAAAGAAAGGTAAAACAAGGAGTGGTATACCTCAAGCGAGAAGATGCCATGTCCTAACATGTTTAAATGAGGAGGTTGCTGCAGTGTAGTGCGTAAGAGAGAAGACTTCTATGGGGTACACACAGCCAGATTAGAGAGACAGTACACACTTTGAAGTGGTAAATATAAAAAAAACTTCCAATGGCTATGACTGTGACTGCAAGGAAGTTAGATCCAAGTGGACACAACTCCCTGACCAATTTACAGCCATTCTGATCACTGACTACATACAAAATGGCTGAATTATATCCCCTCGCTCCTGTTCCTTCACCTATCAGGTCTGCAGAAACAGCTCTATCATATGAAAGATAATCCAGGCTGCTTGCGCTGCTTCATGACAGACTTTAGCCTTCTGGACGTCATTATGCAACAGAATCGCTCTTGAACAGTACTGGTCAAATTGGTACCACAGCTTTCCAAAAACTAACTACAAAAGATGCAAGTCACATTAATGTAGCAAACAGTTAAAGCTCTCGATTAGACAAACCAAAACATATGAAGCTGTTCAAATTTGCATGCATGACACAGGATCAGCTGAAAGCAATGCATTTCTGTTCATGTCTAGATCCATTTGTCGATTAAATATCCATAACTCTACAAAGATCAATGTTGTTTTTGAGCTAGTTTTGGATGCTGCACTCTCGAAAATCACCTCACTTCTGGATAATTGATGCTAATATGAATTACTTATGTTTCAGGTCATGGGAATTGTCTCATGGTATGTTTTGTAGAAGAGTTTAAACTAATCATAGTACTGACTCATTTAACATTAGCTGCTAAAGAACCATTTGTTTCTTTAATTCACTGTGGCTGTATTTGGTTTTTGTTGTTTGTTTTTTTTACTTATAAAAGGGGAAGAAATAAGAAAACAGAGGGAAGAAAGCACACTTAAACCTTTGAACTGCTCTCGTGTGCTTTCAATTACTCTTTCATTCAAGAAGGATGTCAAGTCCAGCAGCCCTAAGCATGCCGTTCAAAAGCTACCAGAGGAGAAAATGTAAAAAGATAAGAATACAACATTTGAATGAGTGGAAGGCTGACAGAGAACAGACAACATAATGTAAAGAGGCTAGTGGAAGGACAATATCAGCAAGAAATTATTATCTAATTACACAAATAATATCCTTTAATACATTAAAAACACTAAATTCAAATGTTGAGATTGGGGGGGTCAAAAATAATCTTTATAAATTAATATATGTACAATAATCGTGGTTAAAGTGTACTTATGCTATATGTGACAAACTTATACTGGCATAACTAAATGTTATTCGACCAAAATGTTTCTGAAATGAGTATGGAAAAAAAAACTCTTCTTTGATTCTTATATTAACAAATAATTATTTTCTCAATAATCAATAGAAAAGCTCTTATTGACTTCCGACCAGCTTCCTGTGTGTTTCCACTTTTATTTTGACCATTTCTGTTTGGTGAGGAGCTGCAAGTCTAAAGGATTAGAAAGTCTCATTACCATCACCATAACGCTGCCTGCACAGATTATTTCTTAAATTTAAGTCTAGCTGCTGGCTGGGTTCAAAACCTTGATCAAATCTAGAGGGTTTCAACAAGAATTTGGCACTAAAATATTTCAGATTTTTGGCTTTAAGTGTATCAATGTGAAGGTTTAAAAAATAATAAACTGAGCACAGCTGCTGTAAAACAGCATCCGAACAGTTCGATATGGTTTGATGATAATTTAATCTTTAATTTGCATCTATTTTCACTCATCTGCATGTAGAATTTGAGTGGCATACAGATCAGGAGGTTTATTTTGTTAGATTTGATGTTATCATTTAAATGCACTGATGAGGCACTCAGAAACGGAGGTCATTACCACACGAGGCTTTCAGCAGATGACAGCTGAGGGCTTCCAAGGATAAATTAAAGCTCAATATGAAAGGCAGATGAGGCTACCAACGAAGGCACCGTTTTAAATGTGACACATATACTGACTTTAACATCCGAGCTTGGATATATAGGATTATTTTTTTAATAAAAAAAAAAAACAGCAGCAACAAAAATCCCTGAAATTACAAAGATCATTCAGACTCTTTACTACATGTGCAGATGGGGAAACAAACAGTCTAATAAAAGCCCGTCTATAAAAGTGTGTCTGTGTATAAATGAAGGTTTTCTTTTTCCAGGGAAACTGATTTCTGCATTGTTGAAAGACCTTGTTTCCTAGCAGAAAGTGTCTCCCATTAAATATCTAATGTTTAACTGAAATAAGGGAGCTGTCTGCTCCACATGTGATGAAAGCTGCTATAATGGCTCCCAGTAATAGAAAAGCAACATCATCTGAACTCTGACAGCGAGGGGTTATCATCACTCCAATCTAGGCTTGGTTTGAGAGGATTGTATTATACTTGAAGCTTACCCTGTTCCCTTGGTAACCATACTGGTAACAAGCACTTCCCCCAGTACTTACAGGCCAGGCATATTTGAAGGGAATGGAAATGTGTCCGTGAGTCCCATCCTCTCTTCCTCCCCCGCCTCCTCCTCCTGCATCGTGTCCTCGGTGCCGGGGCGAATGGGAGTTTCCACCCAGAACACCCGTAGTGCCTGACCCAAAGGTGCAGGCTCCTGTGGCGACCACTCGAGCCTGATACTCCTTTAGGCAGGCGTAGAAAAAGGTGTCACACTGGTCCCGGGCAGAGCAGTGCTGTCCCCCGCTGGCCTGCAGGTCGCAGCAGTTTCCGGTTTGCAGGAATCCGTGTGGGTTGTGGAAGTGACGGATTTGAAGTTCGAACATCCCAGCAGAGCACACGGCCTGAGGGAAGAGAGGGCGGAAAGAAGGGGGTTAACGAGGGGGGATTTAAGCTGAACAACATGCAAATTCTCACAAGCATTTGCAATACTGCAGGAAAAGTTTTTTTATAAGCACTTTTAGGTAACTTTTAACTCCTTTAGTCAGAAAGCTGACTAAAATCTTTGAGGCATTTTTTTGTCTAGCCTTTGACTCATTTATTGGTGAGGTTGCACAGCTCCTAGAGAGGTTCAACAAAGCAGGATCCCCTGCTGAGGACCTTTGCTGTGCATGCTCACTAATCACAAACTGAGCCACCGCTGCCGCTGCTTCAGCTCCTGCTGAGCTTTTGCATCCCAAAGATGTTTGACACCATCAGAAAACTGGGGCACTGTGTTGTCATATAGAGAAATATGCTGCTACTCTTTACCTCGCACACATTTAACACGCATTGAACTTTTCCATATATTGTGACGTAATAACTGCAAATCTGAAAGTATTATTAGGATTTTTCAATGATAGACCAATTTAATATGGAATGATTAAGTGCAAGGAAATCATTTCTAGACAAAACTTCTTCTCATTTTATTCACATTTTTGAGCAGCACTCTTCTTTATATCTTTGGGACATTGTTTGATACTTGAAATCTGCTTTAAACATCTCAACTTATTCCTCAAATGGTTTGCAGTGTTCCTCCTTCATCGTAATATCATTTGTTCACTGATGTTTTCTTACAAACCTCAGAGGCCTTGAGAGAACATTCAGAAGGTATTTGTACTGGATTATTTAGGGGTATTAGAGCAATCGAGAGAATAGATGTAAGGAAAAATTTTTGTGATTTGTATTGGTAAAAGGGAAAAGTTGGGAGCCCATGTATAATTTATCACTTGCCTCTGCTGTTCTCCACGTTTCACTCTTCTAACCTCACTGTGTTACTAGAAACCAGCCCTTAGACAGCCGGAGAGAGAAGTAAAGCAGAAGAAAATAAAAAGAGGGATACAACTTTGATTCCCACAACTCTGTCTGACCTCTTCTGAAGAAAAAACAAACTTTTCCATCTAAATTATGAACAGACACATCAACACTCTTGCCATATAATCCCCCAACTGTTTATCTCTCCACTTCCTTTTGTTTCCCATGTCTCCTTTTTTCTCTCTACTATGTGTGGACACCACTCCCTTCGTTTTCTTCCCTGATGTTCTCCTCCCCAGGGGGAACATGGGATTCTTCTCCTCCTCCTCCTGCTCCTCCTCCTGCTCACTTCTTTCACAATGCAAAGCTGTGATGTTCCTGTCATTTCTCTCCCGACCGCGACAACTGGCTCCTTGGTTTTTTTGTCTGTCATCTATTTTATTCTCAGTGTTGCCTCCTTGTTTATTGACAAAGAGGGGATAAGCACACAGCTATACACATATGCTGGAGCTAATAAGACCCCCTGAGATTCCCAGAGCAGAAGGGTCAGGTATGTGCGCGTAAGCAAGCGAAGGTGTGTGCTTCTTCTTCTTTTCTTTTTTCCATTTTAGCATTTATAAAAATAAACCCACCATAATCTCAGTTTGCCTGAATGGTCCACTGAGGCTGTGTAACTCAGATAATCAGGGCTATAAATCCACAGAGCTGCTGTGAACACAAGCATGAACCAGCAAAGAACCTATATGCAGCACACTCCCGAGCTGAGCCGAAACTAGCCTATTGTTAATGACTGAGTGTCCCCCCGCTGCACCCTGTCCCTTGGGGGGTGGGGGTAAAGATAGAGGGGGGTGGTGGACTTGTCTACATCAAAAGGCTTGCGGAGATACAGTGGCGCTCATCACTCCACATCCTCCTTTCTTCCTCTCCTCCGCTCGCTGCCGGAGCCATTCTCTGCATACCAGCATTTCAGCGCTCAGTCAGGACAGAGACAGGGAGGCAGAGGGGTCTGAGCAGAGGCCCGGGATACTCAGCAGGAGACCCTCGGCACGTAAAGGCTGAGAGTAGCACAAAAAAAATGTATTCCTAACAGATTTTACAGCTGAGTAATGGAACTTCATTTGACTATTAAAGGCAGAGGAGATTGTTTACAGTATGAAGGAAGAAGGAAACTGTTAACTTAAGATGCTTTTTTTAAGATTCATGTCATGATTTAGAAAGAAAAAAGCTACCTTCTCAGTATTCCATCCATTAGGTGTTCATACCCCTAAACTGTTTAGCAATTTTTCCCCTTACGGTCAGAAAAATCTATTTATCTGGATTTTATGCAGGAGATCCACATATAGTGAACAAAGCGCATAAAGTGAAGAATGATGGTAGAAAATGATCCCCCCCATTTTATAAACAGCTCCCAGAGAAGCACACTACAGCATGTGTTTGCATTCTGCAGTAAGGCACAGGATGTGTTGGTGACATCTTTGCATAACTACAGATCAGAATTTCTGACCATTTTTCTTTGCAAAATAGCTCAAGCTCAATCAGATCAGATGCTTCTGTTTCATAGATGCTGAGGAGCATGAAATGCAAAGCCGTGCTGTCAGCAGGTTCTACCACCTGAGCTGTGAATCGCTGCATCTCCTCCAGAGTAACCATGGTCCTTTGGTCGACTTTCTGATAAGTGAAATGTCCATGGTAGGATTTCTTCAAGCCTAACTACAGCTCATTGTTCACTTGTCTAAACAAGACCTCCTAGGAACGCCTACTGCTTGCTCAGAATATTTCTGTGAGGCTTCTGACTAAGTTCTCCAAGTTTTCACATGTCACAGCTTTGTTATTTCCATTGCAAGCACTTCAAAACACACCAAAGCCCTCTTTAAAATCCTGGTTTTCATTTATAAAGCTTTGCAAACTTATAAGGACTCCTGCTGTATCATCAGGACCTGTTAGCTCATAAAAGGCTATACAGCCAAACGGCCAGGGGATTGTCAAGTGTCCCCACACTCTGGGAGCCTCTGAGCTTCATATCTGTGGTTGTTGTCTAAGATGCAGCTTAAATCTCATCCTTTAAATTACTCTTTGGTAATGTTTGGGTTGTATTGTTTGCTTTTAAGATTTCTTTTTTTTTTCCATTTCTTCTTGTCAAGAATGTTGCCTTTAAAGCTGCTTTTAAATAAAACTTTACAGTTTGCCTCTCTTTGTAGAAAGTTTCTCTCTTCATTTAGTTCAGTTTTTTCAACTGATTACTTCTTAACAGTTAATGAGATGAAATTTAAGAGAAAAAAAGGAGAGAAAAAAAGGTAGCTTTTCAGATTTCACCTCTCTTTCTCCTGAATATTACAATAATCTCCTTGTTTAGTTTAAAAGTTTTTCATTTTCTAAATGTTTTCCCTTATATTCAAAGGAGCAATAATTGTCTGATAATTACAATTTGGGAGAAATCAACAGTCAACATGAGCCTCATTCATGTCTTTTGTTTGTGCGATTTACAACAGATGAACTTCAAAGATGTGCAATAAAGGGAGCACTAATCTCATCTCAAGCTTATTCTGCAAACCATAATTACACAGCATGGTAGTTCGTCTAAGCTCTACATTAAAAGCATAATGCAGGGAAGACGAGACTGAAGGGACTGCTTGCCTGGTGAATCATACAGTAAGTTCCAACTCTCCCCTCTCTCCACTGCGTTACATAGGGGCATGGATAGCTGCAGAGGACCCTGACTCTGCAGTGCAGTCAGGAAGAAGAAGATGTGTGTTGTTGCTCAGCTGTGAGGGGGGCTGCAGAGGTGCAGAGCTGCCCCCCATGTTCAACATTCACACGCCACAGAGTTCATTCGCCCGTGGCCCTTTGCTCCACACACCCAGGAGCACAGATGCTGTTTGTGAGCTCAGTGTTTGGAGCAAAAATTAAAAAAAAGATAAAATCTGCACAGACTAACACAGAAGAGAACCTCTCTGCTTGGTGGGTCCTGTCACACATCACAGCCATTCTGTCAGCTCACAGCGTAAAAGGTGCAAAGATAATCAGTGTTTTCCTGAGTTTTTTTCTTCTCTCAGAGGCATTTTCCTGGCAGTTGTTTTATGCTACCAGATTGCAAAACAACCAAGCAAAAATGTCTGCACATACAGCCTTGCAAAGGTATTCCCATCGCTTGATGGTTTACACTTTTGCCACATTACCATGTTCAATGTACTTTATTGCTGAGAAAAATAGAGCATAGTGATGAAATGGAAGAAAAAATGATGCATGTCATGTAAAGAAAAATAACATTTGAGGAATTCATATACATGCTGGTCTTTAAATCTGTTTTTTCAGCTCATAAAAATAGTTTGATTCATCACTCATCCCTCTAGCTATGACCAGCTTTCTCATCCCTGCTAAAAAACAAGCATGGTTGCACAGCATGATTCCTCCACCACCATGTTTCGATGTGAGGCTGTTGAGTTAAGGGTTGTGTCCAGTGTTCTTTTTTTTATATATATATATATACAGCTTATAGTGTTTAATTTTGGCCTAACTTTACTAAAGGAAATGGTTTTATTTCTGTCCTCTGTCTTATAGTAAACTAGATAAATAAGTAAATGATCATTTTCCCACAGACTCTCCCACCTGGGCTTCTCTCTAACAAACCTCTGAGAACTTCAGATATTAAAACATTTTATTATCCTTACACCTCATACAGATGCTCTAAAGGAAATAGCAAAACAGGCCATATGTAGCTATGACATGCAAAGAAAAAAAGAGTGTAAAGATCTGTGATTTGCACTTTTGCACAATTCATGTGCAGAGAAAGCCCCATGCAAGTTGAGAGCTCCTTTATGAAGCAGTGAGGTGAACACCAGAGGAGGTGTGGTGGGTAATTAAGGTGGTATTATCTATAGTCCACTGAGCAGCAGAAATTTATCAAATTACATCAGACGAAAAAAGCAGTTTATTTGGTGCAGATATATTTTTATAGAATGATTTGTATTTTAAAATTCATATATTATGTTAACAACGCTAAACAAATAAAATAGTCGCTTTAATTCCTGTGGAAGATGTGTGTTTGTGGTCTGATAGACGCCTTTTTATCTCTGATCTTATTTCTAATAACAATGATCACGCCCGGCCTCTGCTGCCTTGGATAACAGAGAGCAGCGGGCTGAAACAACAGGTGGGCGCATCGCCATGGGAGCAGAAAGAGGGCAGCACAAGGCGGGGAAAGCTCCTGGTGCGTGGACTTTAATAGTGGCTGTATATTTAAGACTGGACAACATTTCAGTCTGAGGGTTTAAGGGCATGCCGCCCGAAATAGACCTTAATCGTTTGCTTACCTGAGGTTGCACCGTCAGGACAGCGAGAAGAACCACAGTCCGCTGCAGGTGAAGGTGCGTCCTTCTGATCCTTTCGCCCCCATTCCCAGGGTCCATCAGTGTTATCTTGTGCGCTTTTGTGCTCTCCATCCCTGCGGTCATGGATATCTGGAACCGCGCTCTGCGCTCCAGCGGTGATGGCACCCTCCCCTGCTACCTCTCCTCCCTTTCTACTCCTCCTCTTCTTTGCGCGCAGGTCTCCTCTTGGACTCAAACCCTCAAACTCAAGGCAACCTCATCCCGTCGAGAACATTGGAACTCGCTCTGCCTCTGCGCCTTAACAAACCCACCAGCCCCAAATATGCGCACACCTCATCAACTTCTCTCTGGATTTCTGGATTCACACTCTTTGTGCCAACACACTCCTATTGCTCTATATTCCTGTCACCGCCGACGTTAAGAGGATTTCACGTCCAATCTGCCTGCTCACTTGACTTGAACTCTCATCCCAATTAGACGGCACACTCTCTATTCATCTCCCCGTCTGGCTCAGGCTTTATCCATCGGAAGAAAAAAGGCAAAAGAAGCTGTTTCTGCAGGGAGAAATGTTCAGCCAGTGTGTGCAATGTGTAAAAGTTGCATCTCTGTGGCTAAATGGTTTCTCTCTCTGGACAGTCCTCATGGAAACCACTGCATGGCTGGATAGTGAACTCGATCTGAGGAGGGCAGAGTCAGTGTGGGAAACAATGAGAGGGAGAGAGAGAGAGGGAGAGGGAGGGAGAGAGAGGGAGGGTGTGTCCGGCAGGGAATATCCCTCAGGTCTCCAGTGCGCATCAAGCGCTCCGCTCCTTCTCCTCGACCTGCAGTCCCCTTTATTCTTTTTGTCACCTTTACTCATGGGATTGTCCCAGCCCATATCCACTTCAGTTTCCATTCAATCCTTTTTGTTACCTGCCTTCTGTTCTCCAGTTTTACTCCAAAGCTTCACCGGACACATAAACTGTTTTCAAAGCTCGATATGAAATTGGATGGGCTCTGCAAGGAGAAAAAAAAAAAACATTCTTCAGACCTCTAAGCTGAACCTTCTTTATGACCCTGATTGTTTACAAAGAAACGAAACAAATACAAACAAACACAAAAGTTAACATATTTACTCCAAGTTCAGTATTTTTTAATGTGTACAATGGTTTTCCACTCTAGGTGCCATGTCTACAAAAAGAAAGGAATGAATAATTCCACAATGTCCCACTTTCACAGAAGCCTTAAATATTCAGACACCTTTTCTTAACATCTCCACGTTTTGTCACAAGCTCATCTCTAGACTATCATCTCTCCTTTCCTTCCTTCCTTCCTTCCTTCCTTCCTTCCTTCCTTCCTTCCTTCCTTCCTTCCTTCCTTCCTTCCTTCCTTCCTTCCTTCCTTCCTTCCTTCCTTCCTTCCTTCCTTCCTTATGTCCGTCCTTTCCTCTCTGTTTCCATTTTATCCTTCCTTTCCTCCTCTTCATTCCTTCCGTCCTTCCTTCCTTATGTCCTTCTTCCATCCTTCCCTTATGTCTTTCTTCCATCCTTCCCTTATGTCCTTCCTTCCTTCCTTCCTTCCTTCCTTCCTTCCTTCCTTCCTTCCTTCCTTCCTTCCTTCCTTCCTTCCTTCCTTCCTTCCTTCCAAAGGTAAAGGTTGTAATTGGTAAATCAAGAACTTTCTTATTTGTTTCTTTACAGCAACCAGATGCAACCCCTTGTCCAAAATTTAGGCTAACTAGAACTGGACTTTTGTACTATTCTAAATTTTTAATTCATAAAACTTTAATTCTATCAATAAAATGAAGGAAGAGCATGCATAAACAAATGATTCTGAAGGTTATTTAAAACAATTTTGTGACTTGGACGTGAGAAGTTGGGACTCCAGTAAACCTGCTATTATTCATAATATTACATAGAATCCAGAAAAATATATATTATATATCTTCTTTTTTTGTACATTTTATTCTTCTGGCAATATACCTTTAGAAAATACATTGAAATTAGGGTGATCTATATCATGCATGACTAAGTAGGTTAGTCTGGCCTGTGTTACATTCTGACACACTAAACTGAATGTTTTAAAGGCAGTGATTTCTTAAATCTTTGGCCTTTTAGAATTAGGACCATGCATACTTCAGTAAGGACAGTCAAACTCCACCTGCAGCATTATTTCCTCTCAACATGGCCCTCACATGTGGGCATGGTGATTAAACTTGTTCCGACAGCTGCAGCTGTATCCTGCTGTTTGCACGCAGCTGCTCAACGACGCCACCGTCCTCCCCATAGCCGGCTGAGCGCATAAATATAAAAGAGAGTTGTGGAGTGTGAAGGCATCTTTTGAACATTGGCACTCGTCACATGGCATATTTTCCACATCTGACCTCCAGTGTGTGCGTCTTCTTGGATTCAAGACCCCCACACAATGTTCCTTCTTCATCGGAGGGCCATCTAATGAGATTCTGCCGCCCTCACCCCGCCTTCATCTTAAGGTCTATCACGGGGTTGTTGCTCAAGAAACTTCCCTAACAACCGCTGGTGTTTCCGCGGCTGGCGCTGCAGTGACCCCATGAGCGGAACAGAGCCCTGTTGAGGGGAAGATCGTTGATTTGCACGTGGAAAGCAGGGCCATGCAGACATGATTGGAATTAAAAACACATGCACCGCATTTTTTCTCAGACTCTAATATCCGTCGCTTACCTTAGCGAGACTTTTAAAAACAAAACATAGACTTTGAAAATTAACCTAAGCTTTTTGGGTTGTGCATTTGGCGCCATCTCGTGGTTACTAAATGGTTTTTGAGGGGGATGTAAGAGGGTCGGGACCATATGGCATTATGGATTTGTCTCTTAAGTAAGAGAAGATTCACCTTAGCTCTCGTTTTAAAAATTAGACCTTGAAGAATTAAAATGACTGTTTCTGAACACAGATTATTTTTGCAGTAAAACTATTCATTTTTGGCCTATATATCTGCACCCTTACTTCAGTCTTATTCCCAACATGGCATTTCATTATTTCTGCACTTCCAGAACCGCCTCTGTTTCCCTGAAAATCTTTACTAGTGAGAGATATTATTTTTAACCCCTCCAAACATTTGCATTTACTAAGCCTACCATGTCTTTAAACATAAAAAAGCCCAGATGATGATGTCATGCCTCTAATTGGTCAGTTTATTTCCAAACAAACCCTACAAACAGACTGCTTCCTTGTATGCCATTATGGATATGAAGACCTACTTAAGCTTCACTAAAAGAAAAAAAAAACTGCCTAGATGCTTGCAGGTGCCAATCATTTGTTCAAACACCTAAATGTCATGAGAATGTTCAGCCATCTCAGAGCTCAGGTAAGATACTGTTCTACATCCTAGAGCTGGTGTATAAACACCAGAACAAAATGAAGGGGGGACAACGACATTACTACAAGAGAAGCTTTAAAAGCCAATTTAGTAGTATGTACTAGTAAAAGCCTTTTTCTGCTTATTCATGAGGGCAGCAGTCTCTGAGACTAAAAGACTTCCCTCTCAACACACCCGCCTTAGCCCTTCTGACGGGAGCCTGGGGCAGCTGTGAGACACAGTATCTCCAGCATGTTCTTGGCCGTCCCTTGGGGCTTTTCACCCATGGGACATTCCTAGAACAACTGAAACCAGTCCCAAAGGAGGCGTCCAGGGTGCATCTGGAGAAGATGTCGAAGCCACTTCAGCTGACTCCTCTCAAAATGGAAGAGAAGCGGCTCTACTCCAAGTGTCTCCTGAAAGACATAGCTCCTCACCCTATCTCTAAGGGAGTGCCCTGGAACCCTGCAGAGAAAGCTAATTTCAGCTTCTTATGGCTGAGATCTTGTTCTTTTGATTCTAATCCAGATTTCATGACCATACATGAGGTTAGGAACATAGACCAACCGATAAATCCAGAACTGCCTCTTCGCTCACTTGTCTCTTCCCCCAGTGGACTAGTTCAGCGTCAGCATTATAGCAGCAGCCGCACTGATCTGTCTATCAATCTCCTGCTCAATTCTCCCCTCACTCATTAACAGGAACCAAAGGTACTTGAACTACTTGATTTGAGGCAAGGCTTCTCCTCCAACTCGAATGGCGCAAGCAACCTTGGTAGAGCTGCACCTCATTCTGGCTACTTCACACTTAGCTACATACCACCCCAGCATAGGCGGATCTACTGGGGTGGCATAGGGTGGCAACTGCCACCCTAAATGACAGCCTTGCCACCCCTGCTGCCACCCCAGTTGGCGGTAGGGGTGGCGAGGCTTATAAATTATGGATCATTTGAGAATTACGACCGCTAATTTCCAATGTCGGACTGCAGTGAATGCAGCACGAGATGACGCGAGAGCGACTGAGACTGATTGTTTTGAAAACCGAATGGGGCAAAGCGAGGGAGCCAGGGGTGATGGGGAGAGGAGACACGGGATGAAACAGGTAAAAACTGATTAACTATCTATCGAGAAATGAAATCATAATGAAAGCACAATGTTGCTAGCATAGCTGCAATGTTGATTTTGAGATGATAAAAATCAGGCTGCAGAACGTTATTTCTCTAACTATGATGTTAGTTAGGCCTGACGTCTCAGGCTCATAAAGACATATTTACGGTCAACTATGACAGAAAAGAGACTATATAGTTTGGTTGAACTCAAATCAAAACATACAAAGGCATTGGATCTAAATAAAGTTGTGAAGCGTTTTGCTGAGCAACATGGAAATCGTCGCATTCAGCTGTTATAGTCATGTTAACTTTATGTTATGCTCTCTGGTGAGCCTTTACAGAGCTGTTACATTTTGTTTTGGGACCTGAGAAAATCTGATATTTCCTTTAATAAAACCAAAAGTGTTAAAAGTTAAAAATGTGATACTGGTGTGAATCCTGCTTAATATGAAGCAGTGTTGTTGTTTCTTTTTTTGTATATATAATATGAAACTATCCAGAAATGACCCGTATGAACCTACTCACAAGAAAAATGTATTTTTATGTTGCTTCTTTTCAGATTTGTGGAGATATTGATGTAACATCCAGAACCCGCCTTTTTGTTGATTTGTTGATACAGCAGTATGGAGGACCAACTCTGCCATATTTAAAAATAAATACAGAAATAAATAAATGCTTAATAAATAAATAAGCATACAATTAATTGCCACCAAAAATACAAACAACAAATAAATGTAAGTAGAAATTAAATTATACAGCCAGTCATAAAGGTATATAACTCTTTTTATTGGCTTCCTTATTTCTTTGCCTTTTTAATATTTATCTTATTTATTTTTTTGTCATTTATTATCTTCAACTTCATTTTTTAATTACTTATATTTTTAAGTATTTATTTATGTGGATGTTATCATATTTTTGTCTGTTTTATTCTTCCTTTGTATTTTTTTACCCTAGTTATTTCTTCGCCGCTATTTCTTTCTGCCTGCCCTTTTTACATTTCTGCCTGCCATTATAATATCATTATTTCTAATTACATTTATTTGTTGTTTGTATTTTTGGTGGCAATTAATTGTATGCTTATTTATTTATTGAGCATTTATTTATTTCTGTATTTATTTTTAAATATGGCAGAGTTGGTCCTCCATATACAGCTCTATCTACAGCAGATCTACATGCATGAAATGTCCCTTTCATGTTGCCTTAACTGCTGTATGACAAGTTACTGAGGAACAAATGGGGTAAATGTGTGTTCAGAGTAAACATTACATAGATGTCCAGTACCTTGTTCGGGTGCCTTGAACCATTTATTTCTACTGTGTAGTTCTGCTCACTTTAGTCCAGCTCAGTCCATAGATCTC